CCGTTTATGCATGTGTTCAGTAGCTGCCTGTTCGGGGCCTGTCAACACTACACTCACCCGCATTCCACCTTGCCCCCCCTCCCCCCCCCCTCTTGAAACACAGCGCCTTCAACGGTGCCGCCGTGGCCACCCAGGCCAAGTCCTCCTCGGCCATGAAGATGTCGTTCGAGTCGGAGATCGGTGCGCAGCCCCCCCTCGGGTTCTGGGACCCGCTCGGCCTCCTGGCCGACGCTGACCAGGAGCGGTTCGAGCGCCTCCGCTACGTGGAGGTGAAGCACGGGCGCATTGCTATGCTCGCCATCGCCGGCCACCTGACCCAGCAGAACACCCGCCTCCCCGGCATGCTCTCGAACTCGGCCAACCTGTCCTTCGCCGACATGCCCAACGGTGTGGCCGCCCTCTCCAAGATCCCCCCGGCGGGCCTCGCCCAGATCTTCGCGTTCATCGGCTTCCTTGAGCTGGCTGTGATGAAGAACGTGGAGGGCTCCTTCCCCGGAGACTTCACCCTCGGCGGCAACCCGTTCGGGTCCTCGTGGGACGCTATGTCGGAGGAGACCCAGGCGTCGAAGCGCGCGATCGAGCTCAACAACGGGCGCGCGGCACAGATGGGCATCCTCGCCCTTATGGTGCACGAGGAGCTCAACAACAAGCCCTACGTCATCAACGACCTCGTCGGCGCGTCGTACACCTTCAACTAGATTTTTTACCAAGTTTTGCTGAATGTTTAGACCCGTTGAAATAGATCACACCGGCTGGAGACGGAAAGGCCGCTGGGGGCGTTTTTGTTGTTCTGGCTCCCAACATTTTGCGCGCGTGTTTCTGCGTATGGCGTGATTTTGTCTTCACCCGTAGTGGCGCAGGTGTTTGTTCTGTATCTGTAGAGCTCTGTCGTGAGTGTTTCTAGAGAAGTCTACTGCTGACGGTTGCACCGTCGGATTTAAGGCGCGGCGCTTGCAAGCAAGGCAATGTTCGCTGCTCCACGTTTTCGCGCTGTTTAAAGATCATCCCTTTTGGGGTATTGGTTTTTGTTCATGCTTGTCTCCAGTAGATGGAAGACCGAGGTCGAAATTCTACACTGCAGTTGAGATTTGAAAACTAACTGGCCATGACGCGCCTCTGGAAACATGTTTTTTTTCTTCGGACACAACGTCTCGTGGGGTGTTGCGCACTTCCGTGGTTATGTGTGAGGGCCTGACGAACATGACGTCCATCCATGTTCGTGTCACCCTCTCGAGTGTACCCTTCCCTGTACCGTGTGCGGGGATCGTTGCACCTCGATCATACCGTGCGACCCGCGTTGTTGTCTGGGTTCGACGGATGTTATGATCGTGCCATAGCTTGTGCCACTCTCCGCATATCCCGATTTTGGCAGCCCAACACTCTTACTGATGTTGCTGCGGTGGTCGAACACTGGAAAAACAAGCGTCGAGTCGAGCTGTAGTCGCAACCGTGTATCCCGTAAACGGAACAACAAACACAAACACAAAACGTGTTGGGAGGACTACTTTTCTCTCGGTTGACGATCAATGAGTGTACACTGCTCGGACATCCGCAACAATGGCTTGGATGTCAAACGAGCAAGCTAGCTACTCTTGGAGCTTGGTCCCTCCCGCGAACTACTTTTATATAGCTGTGTAGACTGCCTACCGGCGCATGTTGCGGCTGCTTCGCACTACTACAACAACTGTAGTCTTATGTATGTAAGACCTTATGTATGTAAGACCGACGCGGACCGAGTGTCCTGTCTCATTCGTCAGCCGAGCGGCCAGCCAGCGTGGTGCCTCGGCCTACTTAACATAGTCTAATAAATAATACAAATAATAAACAAGGAAATACAAGCAACCATCATACAAAATCGATTATGTGTGTGGGGTTGTCGCTCCAGAGACTGACTGATCCATCGATGCATGCATGCATGCATGGCATCCATCCATGATGCGTAGCGTTTTTGTCTCGCTGAATGAGGCAGCCCAGAGGGAGGAGCACGGACATTGAGCTTCCTCGGTCGAGGCTCTTCAGACTCTTCTATTTAACTCTTTGCCCAATAATATCTTACACGCCATTCCCAACGAGCACAACGAAAAAAAACGGAGTTGTTGCCCAAAGTTGCCTGTTGGCGTGGGCGTGACCCACGATCATTACATTATTATTAGATTCAAGACTCTCACTCAGACGCCACCGACACCAAACCAGTCGATAACACAGCAAGCTCTATCATCATCAATCCCATAGATCCATCATCATCAATGATCACGCGCCCTCCTCTCCGACATCTTCGTGCCCCGCCCCTGCCCCCGCCCCCGCCCCCGCCGCCGCCGCCGCCCCGTCTGCTGCCGCCCCCGCCCCCGCCGACTCCCCCGCTGTGTTGAACTCTGGTTTGAGCTCCCAGTAGTTTCGGTGTGGGCCGCTCGTGTGCATCCTCGCGATCTCCATCAATCCGTCTCGAAGGTGTTTCTGTCCGATAGGGATGAACGGACGGACGTGGTATGTATACATAAATAAGTGATAAAACAAACGGGGTGAACGAGCGTATTGTATGCGGAGTAATACGTCACGTCAAACGATTGAATGCAGGCTGTCACATAATACTTAGCCTCGAAATTTACGAATGCGAGGACGTAAGTGGTCCTGCGGCTACAAGTCAGCTGCTGACTTTGTACTCTATTTGGGACTAACTGCTGTCAAACGTTCAGCATCTTTCGAGCTGAGCACCCGCCGTAGCCCCGTTGAACCTATTACATGCCTGCATCATGAATGACGAATGCGTACTAACTTGACCTAC